ATAGCGCTCCATTTTTTCCCCAAAATTTGATCGGTACATGTGCCCTTTTATTTATGAATGTAGGGGAAAAGGTCTATGTACCTTTCTTCGGTTGTCTGCAAGACGTAGATTTTCCAAACACCTTTCCCGCATCCATGTTGCATTGGGCGGAAAACGTTCTCGGTGATGACGTCGTTGAATTCAAGCGTGCCGGTTTCGCCGCATGGTGTTTCCACACGAATGCATACTGGTTGTTGGTGTTTTATAGTGAAGTCGAGCTCAATCTAAAGAAAATTATATAAGGTAAATCACGTAATGGTCTAGGAAACTTTTCCCCATGGGTAAAGACCTGGACGTGACATCTAGAGATATCTAATGCAAAGATATCTAGTGTTACATCCCTAGAATGCGTCTGGATAATTTTTTGAAAACAAAATCCCCCTCAGCCAGCAAATAACGCCTGTTTACAATTTCAAACCCTTGTTCAAAGCCTCTCCAGAATGGTAAACAACACAAATCAACACCCCTACACACTCGAACAACCCCATTCACCGTTATTTGAGCGTAATTCTTTACTAACCTGTGTAGCATCATAATCGCAACGATCCGACAGCGATAGTTCGGACAAATTGCTGCCGGTACGGCGGAGTCCTCGGGACAATCCACCAAGAGCAGCTTTTGTTTGTAGGGCGGATTCGACCTGGAAATGACGCCGTTGAGCTTGATGGCGCCATTAGGTCGTAAGGCAAAGTTCGACGAGGGTCATGACGGTGATGCTCACCTGACCGTCGTATTCCGTATGGCATGAGCCAGAGGCGAAAGAATTTCCGCAATAGTTGGGCTGATTTGACTGGATGATGAACATTTTCTAGAAAAAAAGATCTTTTTGGATACTTCACGGAGAAAATCGAGAAAATGCGATCGTGGCGGAATATATAAATATGGACGAATGAGAATAAGTTTGAGAAGTCCTTTCACTAAATTTTACCTAAAAGAGACTTACGGGAGGAAACCCTTTGAGGATAGTAGGGCAAAATTACTGAGGGTGATAGCCCAAACGAAAACTGATACCCCAGCCAGTTCCCTCATGAAAACATCTGCAGAACCCCCTGTCGACCCTTTGCCAAGCCAACAAGGCCCAGCAATGAATGCGACAAGGAGGCGGAGTCCGCCATCACCCCCTAATGCTAGTTTGTTGACGCACACAGCTGAGGAAGCCAGGCGATCAACAACCAGACGGAGGGAACGAGTTCTCTATCTTAAAAGTGCTTAAGGTACAAAGAAGAGAAAATGGAAGGAAACTTTGGGTCGAACTTTGAAGGAGCGATCAAAGTTTGCCTACTCTAGACATGATGTTCTTGAAGAAAATAAAGAAGTGGTGTGGTGTTTTTGCTTTTTCTCCTCTAAAATCTCGATGAAAGGAAATGTAATCGACCAGATATTTGATATTTATCACAGACTTTATCGAAATAATCCCACTAAATCCTAAGGTTCACGATAAACAGATGGATTAGAAACAAAAAAGTGTTGACAACGTATTCCATTTCATATCTGTAATCTTCTTCCTTGATTTCGTGTAAAACCATTTGACATTTGAGCAGCGAATGTCACTCTCTAGGATTTTGTAGATCTTCGAAACATTCCTCTCTCTGGGATTT